AATTTGGAGAGAAAGAGGCTTATTGGTTGCAAATAATTCCCCCATTAAGTATGGGAAGGAGCTATTAGCTCTACTTCAGGCAGTACTGGAACCTTCAGGAGTGGCTGTCATCTTCTGTAAGGGACATGAGAAGGAAGACAGCCATGTTAGCAAGGGAAATGCACTAGCAGATAAGGCAGCAAAAGGAGCCGCTGCACAGGAAGCTCTAGAAATGGATCTAATAAATACCTCAGCCTGTAACAGTGACTGAAGCACCTCACTATGCTGAGTCTGAGATCGAATGGGCCCAACAACAAGGTCTACTAAAGATACTAATGGGTGGTGGAGTTCAGATGATAAAGTTATCTGCCCAATGGCCTCTCAATGGATAATTATTAAGGAAATACATGATGCTATCCATTTGGGAAGAGGAACTTTAACGCAAATGTTCTCTTAAGTGTTTGGAGGGAAAAGACAACATGGTGTCACAAGGGAAGTAATTTGTTCCTGTCCCATTTGCTTACAAAATAATCCTGGTGGCCATGTGAGACTTCTTCCTTTGTTGACTACAGGCAAAGTAGAGATTGTCAGACAGACTTTCTAGCATGCCCCCAGAAAATAATCACAAACATCTTCTAGTTTTATTGATACTTTCACAGAATGGATAAAACCTTTTCCAACTTGTACAAAAAACAGGCACCAGAAGTGTGGGGAGCAACTGGGAGCAACTCGGACTAGACTAAGTTACTGGAATTAAGACTTATTCTATGCATCTGCTCTCCCACAATATGGCGCTGGGAGAGGAGGAAAACAGCTTCTACACAGCTGCCTCCAGTTCAACCAATAAACAGCAGGACCTGCTCCTGATTGCAGGAGAGCAGCATACTCGGCGTGTGGGTAGCAGAGTTGGGATTGGTGGAAGAGGACTATAAAGGAGGAGAGAGACAACATGCACCAGGAACATCTAAGGGGAACATCTATCTGAAGGAACACCTGTGCAGCCCCCGAGAGAGCCGGCCAGCGGTGTGCCGCTCCCCCGTGGAAGTGGGGAAAGTGGCAGGGGGAACCGCCCTTCCACGGAGGTGGAAGGGTTGGTAGCCAACCCGGGAAGAACCAGCAGCAAACCCGGGGAGGGCCGAGCAGACGAAAGAACAGCGCAGGGTCCTGTGTCGTTCCTCCGCGAAGAGGGGGAGAGACATAATGGTGCTGTGACTCAGATAGGAAGCCTAGGAGACATAATGGTGCCGTGACTCGGATAAGAAACCTAGGCAGGGTTTAGTGTCGTTCCTCCACAAAGACGGGGAGCGACATAATGGTGCTGTGACTCGGATATGAAGCCTAGGCAGGGTTTAGTGTCGTTCCTCCACGAAGAGGGGGAGCGACATAATGGTGCCGTGACTCGGATATGAAGCCTAGGCAGGGTTTAGTGTCGTTCCTCCACGAAGAGGGGGAGCGACACAGAAGTATCCAAAGCCTTGGTGAAGGACATAGTGCCATACTTTGGACTTCCAAGGTTACTCCAGAGTGACAATGGACCCTCATTTGTATCTAAAATAATGTAACAGGTAGCTGCTGCTCTAGGAGTTTCCTATCATTTCCATGCCTCTTGAAAACCTTAGTCATCAGGTAAAGTTGAAAAGGCTTTTCGTAGTTTTAAGAAAATTCTAGCTAAGCTTTGCAGAGAGACCTCAGCAATATAACTTAATCTATTGCCTATTGCCCTCCTCAGGGTAAGAATAGCACCTAAGGCTGCTCTAAAGCTTAGTCCATTTGAGATGCTTTATGGGAGGTCATTCCTCACCTCTGACATTGTCTTTAGTTCAGAGACTCAAGATCAGATAAAGTATATTATCAATTTATCCAGGAACAAAAAGCTATGATAGAGTATGGTAATACAACTATTTCAGTGCTGGATCCCAAAACTCATGCTCAGCCTATTTCCCCAGTAGACTTTGTTTTATTAAAGACTTGGAGGAAAGGATGCCCTCCAGACCAGTTGTAGTCTAAATGAAAGGGATCCTGCCAGATGCTGATAAGCATATCTACCTCAGTAAGATTACCTGGCATCCCAAGCTGGGTGCATTGTCAAGGATTCAACTTCTACCTCCTGAGTCTTCGCAGGTACACTCAAAAGATAAGTCTGCCTACTCCTATGAACCAATTGAGTATCTAAATACCTCTTCCAAAGGCAAAAAGATAAGTAAAGCATTTTCTCTTGTCACTGCTGCACTTTAAGGCAGACATGTTGTTCCTACCTCTTTTGATTCTTTCTAGGAGCTGTTATTGGCAGAGAAACTTCCTAGTGGGTTCTTCTATTACAATACTGGAAGATCTTGGTATGTCACATGAAGCTAATTTAAAAAGCCTGGGTATTGCTTTAGGTAACCTGGCTTACACTTCAGGCCAACTTTACAGTAAATAGTCAAATCTGTGGACACTCTAACATAGGGTGGACAAACAACAGGCCTGGAATATGTACTGATAGAACAAGGAGGAGCATGTGCAGTGACTAATGGAATCTGTCACCTCTAACAGTAGTGTGCTCAATGAAAGAGACCTTAAAAATCTCTATACTCAGCCAAATGGTATTACAATTAGCATAAGGACAGCCTATCAACACACATTATTGAAAAACAATAACTTATAACCTTCCCATCTTAAAGGGAACTCCACTTGCAATTTGTTTTCTTCCAGTTTTGCTCATATGGATTGATAAATTTTTCTATTTCAGAATCCAGCAACTTCTGGAAGTGATGATAATCACAAAAAGGACACAGCCATTGACGATGACTGAAAGTTCTGCAGCACTGGGACCTGTGCTGTGGAATAGTGGGTAAAGTTGCCTCCTGCAGTTCTAACAACCATATGGGCACCTGTTTGAGACCCAGCTGCTCCACTTCCGATCCAGCTCTCTGGTGTGGCCTGGGAATGCAGCAGCAGAAGGCCCAAGTCCTTTGGCCCCTGCACCCACGTGGGAGACCAGGAAGAAGCTCCTGGCTCCTGGCTTTGGATCAGCTCGGCTCTGGCATCTGTGGCCATTTGGGGAATAAACCAGCAGATGGAAGACCTCTCTCTCTCTCTCTCTCTCTCTCTCTCTCTCTCTGCTTCTCTGTATCTCTGCCTTTCAAATAAATAAATAAATAAATCTTTATTTAAAAAAAGTTCAAAGTTCACCAGCTCATGAAACAGAGTCATTAGGTGAGATAGGAAGAGATATCTGAACCCAAGACAGGCTGTAAATATTTAGTGGTGGACCTTGGTGGGCTATACTGGATATGTGGGAGGGCCACCTATACTAAGCTACCCCAATTCTGGACTGGATCTTGTGTGTTGGGGACTATCTGCCCCTGCTTCTTCCTATTCCTACTAGCCACAGAACAATTGGGAGTCTCCATATTTGAAAACTGGAGGGGGGAGGTCAAAGAGAGCAGTGGGCCCTACAAATTGGTGACTAGAAAGAGGAACAGTGGTGTCCTGAGTGTAAAATCCATTATTATGGTCCAGCTACCTGGGCGAAGGATGGGTCTTACAGGCACCACACTCCCATCTATATGCTAAACAAAATAATCAGATTACAGGTGGTTGTAGAAATTATAACCAATGAAACTGCAAGAGATCTCAAACAGCAAACCAATCAATACTGCTTAGCTTTAGACTATCTGCTTGATTCTGATGGAGGGGTTTTTGCAAAATTTAACCAGAACAACTGTTGCTTACAGATAGAATATGAGGTCAAGGTTATAGGGCAAATCACAGATAAAATGAGAAAGATCACTCCTGTCCCAGCCCAAATCTGGAAATGCTGGAACCCTGGCAAGCTCTTTGGTGGATAATTTTCAACTTTTGGTGGATTCAGGACCCTCATAGGTGCTGTGGTTTTAATTTTGGGGACCTGCCTGATTCTACCCTGCCTAACTCCCCTAGTTATGAGATCTATCATGAGCTTTATTGAGGCCACAGTAGAGAGAAAAATGGTTGCACATGTCATGATGTTAAAGTATAAACCTTTAAATCAGGATGAGGCTCTTTGACACTAAAAGGATCCAAGCATTGAAGTGGAGAATGGGGTAGGGATGCTGGCTCCTGGAACAAAGGGAAAGTTAAAGGCTTGCCCAGAAGAAAGGGAAAGTGTGGCATTATCAGTTAACTGTGTACTCATATGCAACTCTGTTACAAGCTTGTAGCATTAGAGAAACTAATCAAAATGTATTGTACCATAGAAGAAGGATGAAGGGACTGAAGTAAAGGAAACTAACAAACGGCCCTCTGCATTTGGAGCTTTGATGTGAATCTGCTTAGCTAGTGCTGGCATTAATAAAGCTCTGCTTCCCACTAAAAGCTTTGGTGTCCCCCCTCTATGTTCAAGGATCCTGCTTCAAAATTAGTTTTTAATTTCAGAGGAATTAAGTAGGAAGCAGGTTTCTTTTTTTTTTTTTTTACCACAAACACAATTTTTTAAAACTTTTATTTAGTAAATATAAATTTCCAAAGTACAGTTTATGGATTACAATGGCTTTTCCCTCCGATAATTTCCCTCCCACCCACACCCCTCCCATCTCCCGCTCCCTCTCCCATTCCATTCACATCAAGATTCATTTTCAATTATCTTTATATACAGAAGATCAATTTAGTATATATTAAGTAAAGATTTCATCAGTTTGCACCCACACAGAAACACAAAGTGTAAAATACTGTTTCAGTACTAGTTATAGCATTACTTCACATTGGACAACACATTAAGGACAGATCCCACATGAGACGCAAGTACACAGTGACTCCTGTTGTTGACTTAACAATTTGACACTCTTGTTTATGGCGTCAGTAATCTCCCTAGGCTCTAGTCATGAGTTTCCAAGGCTATGAAGCCTTTTGAGTTCGCTGACTTCGATCTTATTCCGACAGGGTCATAGTCAAAGTGGAAGTTTTAAGTTCTCTCCTCCCTTCAGAGAAAGGTACCTCCTTCTTTGATGGCCCATTCTTTCCACTGTGATCTCACTCGCAGAGATCTTTCATTTAGGTCCTCATTTTTGTTTGTTTGTTTGTTTGTTTGTTTTTCATTGCCAGAGTGTCTTGGCTTTCCATGCCTAAAATAATCTCATGGGCTCTTCAGCCAGATCTGAGTGCATTAAGGGCTGATTCTGAGGCCAGAGTGTTGTTTAGGACATCTCCATTCTATGAGTCTGCTGTGTAGCCCACTTCCCATGATGGATCGTTCTCTCCCTTTTTTATTCTATCAGTTAGTATTAGCAGACACTAGTCTTGTTCGTGTGATCCCTTTGACTCTTAGACCTATCAGTGTGATCAATTGTGAACTGAAATTGATCACTTGGACTAGTGAGATGGCATTGGTACATGCCACCTTGATGGGATTGTATTGGAATCCCCTGGCACGTTTCTAACTCCACCATTTGGGGCAAGTCCGATTGAGCATTTCCCAAATTGTACATCTCCTCCCTCCCTTATTCCCACTCTTATATTTAACAGAGATCACTTTTCAGTTAAAATTTAAACACCTAAGAATAAAACAGCAATGTAAACCAATAGAAAAAATTAAAAAGCAGGTACTTTTTAATTTTTTCTATTGGTTTACATTATTGTTTTACCAAAGTGTTGCAAACTCTATAAATTTCAGGAAAATCTTTAAGCCTAAAAGACAAATGATTTAAGTATAGAACCAACACTGTTTTAAGTAAAAGAAATAGATCCATAGACTTAACTGCAAATATTTCCAGAGAATTGGAAATGTAGAAGACATGGTCCCAATTGTAATTTACAGCCTTTTGAAACTACAGCATGGTTTCACAAACTATTCCATCCTTTCAGGCCACTGAAGCTAAAAGAAGAGGAGGCATATATTGGTCCCAACTATAGAATAGAGTGATTTAATAGGTTGGCAGAAAAACTTCCATAATTTTTTAAGATTAATTAATTTATTTGAAAGACAGAGAGAGTGAGTGAGAGTGAGAGCAAGAGAGAGAGAGAGAGAGAGAGAGAGATCATCCACCCGTTGGTTCACTTCTCAAATGACTGCAGTTCCAAAGCAAGGAGGCAGGAGCGTTTTCTGGTTCTCCCACATGAGTTCAGAGCCCCAAGTTGTTGAGCCATCCTCCTTTGATTTCCCAGGTGCATTAGCAGGGAGCTGGATCAGAAGTAGAGCAGCTGGGATTTGAACTGGTGCCCATATGAGATGCCAGTACTGTAGGTGGAATCTTAATCTTCTATGCTACAACACTAGCCCTGTAAATTCCATAATTTAGTGGAAACAAACAAACAAGCAAAAAAGGAACCCTTTGGGACAGAAGGGTCATGAGGCCTACCATTGCCAGTCTACAAAATAAAACTTAAGAGACAGTTGGAAAGCATGTCCCTGTAGTGGGTCTGGGTGGTGGTAAAATTTCAGTTTAAGATGAACCATCTGAAGACCAGTTGTTGCCAGTGCTTTTTATAAAATGGTAGAAAATGAGGCAGCAGAAATGAGGGATGTGGTATCTTTTAATGGGAAGTAATAAGTAAAGTTCTCAGAACCAACTGAGATTAGAAACTAGGTCTCAACTGCCAAATAAATGCAACATCCACTTCCCACCCCCAGCATTTAAGATGAAGAAAGTGGATTAGCAAACAAACACTGGGCAGGTCACAAACAAGACTAGGAGGGCCAAGAGTCTGTAGGTAGTGAGTTTGAGAGTGAGTTGTACTTGGTCTCTTGTTTAAAAATTCCTGATGAGACTGGATACAAGGAATAGGCAGGTGTGTGGTTTCATGGTTTGTCTATGAAGAATGGACATTGTCTTGGGGCTGCCAGGGTGTCTAATGCAATCTTCTCCATTCCCTCTCACCTCATCCTACCACTAAACTCTTCTTGCTCTGATTATCTTAATGACATTCAACTGCTTGCACCATGTCTGCATGTGTGTCTGGCTGCCATTGGAGCAAAGTAGACAAGGTGGGAGAAAGATAAAAGTAGACTAGACATGGAACATTCCTCAAGTGCCTAAGTGAGATTGTTTGGATTTATCACCACTCTTGCTCTCACCTGACTAGTTCTGACAAAAATATGTTAACAAAGATGTCTGGAGCAGAAATTCCTGTCTTCTCACAAGAATAGAATTTCAGACATGAGACAGAGATTGGCAGCAAGCATGTCAACAAAGTCTATTGAAAGGAATACACTTGACAGGCAAGGCAGGAATCTCCCCATAGAAAGGAGAGCACCAGTTGCATTCAGACAGGGGTTTTTATGGGTATGGGCACATGGTTTCTCATCTCCACTTCTTCTGGTATATTGTTGAGCAGAAGGTTTTCTAAGCATGGAATTTGTAAAATTCCCCAGGGCTTTATCAGCAGTGCTTTCAGACTGAATGGAACCCACCAAATAGGATTATCAGACTTGAGCAAGAAGGAAGACACATCTCTTCTCTTCTAAGGCTCCACTCCTTACATCTGCCATTATTGTTGGGTTTTCAGAATGCAGATGTTAAAGAATATATAGAATGATATTAAATGATATACTTAGAAACATACAAAGAAGACTTCTTATTAGCATGTTTGTATTAATTTTCCCTTAGTAAACATGGCATCCTGCATGGAAATTAATAGACAAAATTTCTAGTTATATAATTTTCTCTGACATAGATGGGCTAGCCAGGTATAATTTTCACAATAAAGTTCACTATTATTTGACTTTTGTCTTCAATCTACATGGTACTTGCAGTATATTTGATATAAAGATGACTATGAAATAGATAATAAAAATGAAAAAATATACCAATTCTTTCATTCTAGTTTGATTAATTAGTGTGTTTGTATTTAAAGTTTTTGACTGCTGAAATACTTAAAAACTGTAAGAATCAATCTTGAAGGAATAAACAAATGAAAACTATTATTTTTTTGGAATTTAATGTATAACAGAATTTTTATGATTTTTGCTCGGTGTTTTGTCATATATAAATATTTTCCTAACTATGGGTAAATTTTTTGCTTTATGTGGATAAATGTCTCAAAATTAAGACAAACTACTTTATTCACCTATGAGTAAATATAGATTATGCATCTGACTATAAAATTGCAAAGAGGTTCTATTTTGAAAAAAATCATTAATGAACTTGTATAATATACTTCAAAAAGAAAAGAAATAGACTTGAATTTGGCTTTGATAGTGCATGTAGAGCTTCCTTATTCAGAATAATGGATACACAGATATTTCTCATCTTTTAAAAATGCATTAATAAAGTTAAAGGACACAAACATTTCTTTTCTACTCTTTTATACTTTATTAATTGTTTTACATTTTGCTTTATACTTGGGGATTATTTATTCAAAAAGTAATAAGAGAAAATATTCATTATGTACTTTTTCTGGAAATGTTTGTCATAATTAGTTTCATTAGCAATTATTGCCAAAAATAATTTTGCTGCATCGAAGACTGCTGTAAGAATATTTAAATAGTACATCCTCTCAGGGTCATAATTCATACTCTTTTTTCTCCATGTTTGCTTGCCTTCTGTGTTCAGGGTCCAAAGGCTGTGGTTAACAGCCCTTAAGATGAAGTGAACACATTTTGCATTTACCTGCTTTCTCCAGAATAGATTTTAAAAATTCTTGTAAGTAATGCTTGGCTTGTCATTCCATCTGTCTCCATTTCTGTGTTTTTGAGGCAAGACAACAAGCAATAGTTAATATATGTAGAAGAGAGACATTAGATCTATACCTCACAATATAAAAAAATCACTCAAGATGCAACAAACACTTAAATTTAAAACCTGAACTACAAAGCTGCTAGAAGAAAATGTAGAGGGAAACACTCCAAGACACCGGTAAAGGTGATGACTTGGATAAGATCCCTAAAGCACAGGCAATTCCAAACCAAACTAAACAAATGGAATTATACCAAACTCAGAAGATTTTGGACAGCAAAGGAAATGATCAAAAGAGTAATGACACATCCAACAGAATGAGAAATTAAAGGATTAATATCCAGTATATTTCAGCCAATCAAAAAACTCAACAACAAAAAAGCAATCACTCTAGTTACAAAGTGGACAAAGCACCTCAATAGGTAGTTGTCAAAAAAGAAATAGAAATGGCCAAAAAATGTGAAACAATGCTCAATATCACTATCCATCACAGAAATGCAAATTAAAACCATGATATCACCTCACCCATGTCAGAATGGCTATTATCCAAAACTCAGAGAGTAACAAATGCTGGCGAGAATGTAGAGAAACAGGGACACTTATACACTGCTGGTGGGGATGTAAATTAGTGCAGATACTATGGAAAACAGTATGGAGATTTACTTAATTAAAAAAATAACTAGAAATAGACTTGCCTGATGATATAGCAATCCCAGTACTGGGTATATACTTAAAAGATATGATCGTGTTTTATCAAAGAGATACCTTCACCACCATATTTGTGGCAGCATTGTTCACATAACCAAAATATAGAATCAACCAAAGTGTCCATCATCATACAAATAGATAAAGGAAATAAGGAAAATGTGATATATATATATATATATATATATAAAATGGAATATTATTCGGCTATAAAATAAGAATGAAATTTTACCATTTGCATCAAAATGAATGTAACTGGAAGACATCATGTTGACAAAAAAAGACAAATACTGCATGTTCACCCTTTTATGTGAGAGCTAAAATTAAAAAAATTAAAAAAACAGAAAACAAAAAAGAGATATTAACAAAAAAATTTTCAATTGCTAAAAATATATTTTTGTCAAACTTTGTTTTACACGTATGTCAACACAATTGTTGAGAATGTTATATTACTTTAGGTTTAATGATGTGTGATTATTTTAAATTTACTGGATATGGGTGAATTGAAATTTTTCCATTTGGTTATTGTGTATTGACCTTGCCTATATTACCACTGAACTAAGGCCTTTATTTTTAACTTGTTGATTTCTTTATTTAGTGAAATATTAAACATTTGACTATAATGCTAATTAAAAATGTTACATCAAAAACTAAAAAAGAAAGCAAGAAAAAAAGGGAGAGGTAGAGAGGAAGGGAGAAAGTAGGAGGTAAGAGGAGAACATCATTATTTTCCTTGAGTTAAATCAATGGGCCACGTTGCTCTGTATTCGTTGCATTAATATTACATGACATGTAATAAAAATAAAGTATCATAAAAAAGTTAATATAAACTTCTGGTTTCCATATTCTCTGTATCCCAGCTATTAAAGTAATTGAAGGTATCAGATTTGACAAGGCAGGGCAAAGAAATCTTATTGCAGGAGGATGCAAATAATCTAGCATCATAAGCCTGAGGGCCTAGACTGAAATTGTGGGTCCTGAATTTTCAGTCCTAACTAAACAGAAGTATGTGCGCACTTCGGCAGCACGTAAACTAACTAAACAGAAGTAGTCTCTTACTGCCATCGTATCTCAAGTATATTAAAGGCTTCATGCAGAAAACATATCTCATCTTCCTAACCAAATATTTTACTAGATTGCCCAGATTTAGGTAGGAAGCAAGTTAGGGCCATCTCAATTTTTTTTCAAAATTTAAAAATTCCTATGACAACATGCTTTGTATTTCATATGAAATGTGAACTGTAAACTCCCTATCAAAGGAAAGACTCTCTTAACCAATGTGCTAAGAGGTTTCACCAAGGTTAGCCTGTCTTCCACCTTCACTAGGTTATTAGTTTTATTCCTAAAGGTGAACCTGTTGTCCACGCTTAGGTGTTGCTAAAGTAAAGCAATCCTGACAAACTGGAAACTGTCCATTGTCTAATCCTTCTTGCAAAATCACTTTTAATAATTTTTTACTTCATTCTTCTTTCATTTGGCATTTTCATAAAATAACCTAATCAATGCTCAGTCTTTTTAAAATCTCAGAAACTTTTTTTCCTATTTGAAGTCAAGATCAGTTTATGCTAGAGCCTCTCTCCCAAACAACAGAGGTCTGTACAAAATCTGTCTTATCACCTTTACCAAGCATCTTCCTCTGGTTTTCTTTGGTAAGGATACAAACATTCTGTGTGTGCGCTGTATTCAAGTAGATGACATTTCTGAAAATGCAAGTGCCCACTTCAGGCTTTTAGCTGTTCTGAAAACAACAGGCTGAAATTCCAGTGATTCCTAATTTTCTTCAGAAATATATACATACAGACATCTATACATATATTTGTATATATGCATGTAGTGGAATTTTATTTGGATTTCAGGAATTCAAATATCCAATCAAGAATAAAACATTTGGATGAATCAGGAAGTGCAAGTCTCATAAAATGTGTAGAATAATGTTGTCAGACATTGATCCATAGTGGCTAAAATAAAAAGAATGCTCTCAGCTCTCACTATTGCTAGCATTAGGTCTGAAAGAGGCTTAGTCTCTCTTATTCTTATTTCCTGTCACAACAAACTTTTGACAAACAAACAAAAAACATTTTAGGATAAGGAAAGTAATGATTGTGATACAAGCCAGCAGGAACCCAATGACATCCAGAGAGTAGTACTGGAACCAGGTGAGGTCGTGGGCTGCAACCCGAAGGTGTTTGGCTCCTTTGTGGCGCATGATGTACTCGATCCAGAAGACTGCTCGATCCAGGGGCTTCACAGGCTGATCGTGGTGAATCCTTGATAATCTCATAGCATTCTCTTTATAGCTGATGAAAGTCAATATACATTGTCTTATAGAATGAATTAGAAAACAGGGATATGCCTAACTTTCACGCAGTTGATAATGATTCATGTCATATAAAAATGGAAGAAAAATAATTTTCTTCAGTAATGATTATAGAGAGCTGAGTTGGTAGCCTGGAATTCATAGGGTGTACATAACTTCAAGATAAGAAGAGAGAACTTGAGAGAGAACAAGTGTTTCTAACATCACAATATAGAAGGGCAAAAAAAGAAACTAAAATGAAGCAATACTCAAGGGCAAAAAAGAAATAAGAAAACTGCAAAAACAATAGCAATTATTAGAGGTGCAATTTTTGAATTATCTAGGAAGTGATGTATGTGGGTCAAATTATTCCAGAATTTAGAGACATAAGTAAGTCCACGACAGGGCTCAGATACATATCTGGGTAAAATTGATAAGAAGTTGCTATGCACCAAGAATTGGTATTAAGCTTAATCGTTAATCAGTACATTAATTATTACAACTATGAAGGTAGAGAAATCAATGTCCTTTGAATCCACATGCTGACACTAATTTGTTCCTTTTGTACATCTTTCTTTTCCTAGTTTTTGATTGCTAAATAGAATGCCTAGGTATAGTATACTCTTTATCTGATTTTTCTTTGTTACAGTGCACTGATTCTGATAATATGTTGAATTGTTTTCATCATATTGTGCAACAACAGTAAATGTTTTATATTATAGACATTGTACTTCTTGTTAGTGTTGTGATTTTAGGATCTGGAGTGTATTCAATGCATTGCAGTTGCATTTTGTTCTGGTGTGACTTCATGGCATTGTAGCTGCATTTTAGTTGCCTTGTGTCCAGTGTTGAAATGATCAAGGAATAAAGGGCAACACAGAAAGGTGTATGTAGGGATGTGGCTTATACATTCTGGACCACAAAAGGCTGTAGCTTGTCACTACAGCAATCACAGTGGAGGTAACTTCCATTCTTATTAATTAAAGATTGTAGCTGGAGGAATGTTTTTCAGAGGAGTGTACTATTCCTGTTATATTTTCGTAATATAATTGTGAAAGGACATAATAAATAAACTGTACAGTATATTCAGAAAATTGATGCAATGAGTGTCATATTGTATATATTTACAGTATGACAGTTAAGAAGTTTGCTTCATTCATCAGCATTACTTTTTTAGAAGTTAAAAATGTAGAACAACATCTATACTAGACAGCTATATTTTTTACATTAAATTAGCAAGTAAAGGATATACCGCTCTTCAAAAAAGAAAAAGAAATGTGCTTCTCATTGTGCTCATTAGGATGAACAATAGATGTAATAAAATTAAAGTCACACTAATTGCATCTTTGTGTTTTTTAATACAACCAAATGATTTTAATTTGTCACTGATAATATGCACATCCCTGAAAATGTATCATTATTTCATTTGCTTTCTTAAATATTACTTCAGGAGCCGGCACTGTGGCCCAGCAGGTAAAGCTGCTGCCTGCAGTGCTGCATTCCATATGGGTGCTGGTTCAAGTCCTGGCTTTTCCACTTCCGATCCAGCTCTCTGCTATGAGCTGGGAAAGCAGTAGAAGACGGCCCAAGTCCTTGGGCCCCTGCCCTCACATAGGAGACCTGGAAGAAACTCCTAGCTCCTGGCTTCGGAGTGGTGCAGCTCCAGCTGTTGCAGCCATCTGGGGAGTGAACCTATGGATGAAAGACCTCTCTCTCTCTTTCTCTCTCTCCTCTCTCTCCCCTCTCTCTCTCCTCTCTCTCTCCTCTCTCTCTCTGCCTCTGCCTCTCTGTAACCTTGCCTTTCAAATAAAATAAATAGATCTTTAAAAATATTACTTCAGTGTAAATGAAAAATATGTTTACATTTAAGAAATACGACACAATAGAGAAGCTCTCTGTAAGCGTAATCCCTTATAAGCATATTTTCCTACTTTGTCTCATATGGAAACATCTTAGTGTTAATCACTAACTCTTATCATATAGAAGTGTACATAAATTTTGAAGTTTTACAGAAGCATTATCTTTGATTTTACAAATAAGATATTCTTATAACATGCTTGGATTTAGATTTCAGCTCTGCTCCTAAGGATTCCTTGTAATCCTTCATTAAATGTCTTCAGTGACATTCCACATATTGGATAATTCAAAATTGTGTATTATCTTTAAACCTCTGAAAATCATTCTATAAAATCATCAAAATTATTGTGGCACTCACAATGAATTATTGATGTTATCTTCCAAAATTTAGCAAATCTGTACTCAACATGATGTCCAGGTTCACAATCAATGCTACTCCCTTTGAACACAAGTAAAAATTTATCTATAAATACTATATAGTTAAAAAAAAAACAGGGAAATACTTACAAAGGATTGTTAATAACTGCCTTTAAAGCACTAAGCAAATTTGTACTTGACATTGTTTTCCAGTCCACTCTAACAGCTGCTCCTTTGGCTGTCATGTGGGCAATATTATCAGGTTGCTCCCCAAACAAAGGAATGCCCACCATAGGGATGCCATGGTGAATTGCCTCATAAATGCCATTGCTTCCACCATGAGTTACAAATGCCTTGGTTTTTGGATGACCTGGAATTGAGTGATTTTCAGTAATGTTATCAATTATACATTCTACAAATAAAGTGGGAAATATACAGTATATGTCACTAAAATAGACAATGCTTTCTATTTAAGATGTTATCAATTGCCATGAAACTGTATCTAAGCTGCCTTCAAAAAGAAGAGGAAGAGACACCTAAGATCACTGGAGAAGTAAGGAAGGCCACATGGAAGTGGTGGTGTGTGATATCAGACTTGAACTATATACAAGATTGACAAATCATCATGAAGAGGGACCACATTTTGAATGAAATAAACTACACATTTCCACTGCCAAATAAAAGGTCAAGTGCGGGGACCTGCACTGTGGCGTAGTGGATAAGGCTGCCGCCTGCAGTGCTGGTGTCCCTTATGGGTCTGGGTTTGAATCCCACCTGCTCCACTTCCCATCACACTCTCTGCTATGGCCTGGGAAAGCAGTAGAAGATGGTCCAAGTCCTTGGGCCCCTGCACCCACTTGGGAAACTGGAAGAAGCTCCTGATTCCTGGCTTCAGATCGGCGTGGGGAATGAACCAGCAGGTGAAGACCTCTCTCTCTCCTCTCTCTGTCTCTCCTTCTCCCTATGTAATTCTGGCTTTCAAATATATAAATAAATCTTTTTTAAAGGTCAAGTGCAGGTGAAAACATTTTCTCCCAAAGACGTAGTGCATTCACTAAGTCTGATATGTAGGGTGTACAACGTATCAGGGAGTGGCATTGTCACAGTGCTGGAATCAAAAGGAGAGCTCACACTTCATTTTTTTATAATTTATTTTACAAATAGAGTTAGACAGTGAGAGAGAGAGGCAGAGAGAGAAAGATTTTCCTTCCATTGGTTCAGCCCCCAAAAGGCCGCTACGGCTGGCGCAGCACCCATCCGAAGTCAGGAGCCAGGTGATTCTTCCTGGTCTCCTGTGTGGGTACAGGAGCCCAAGCACTTGGGCCATCCTCTACTGCCCTACCGAGCCACAGCAGAGAGCTGGACTGGAAGAGGAGCAACCGGGACTAGAACCCGGCACCCATATGGGATGCCGGCGCCTCAGGCGGAGGATTAACCAAGTGAACCACAGCGCCGGCCCCAGCTCACAGTTGATTTTAAAATGTGTTATAGGCTGGCACTGTAGCTCACTTGGTTAATTCTCTGCCTGCAGCGCTGGCATCCCATATAAGTGCCAGGTTCTATTCCCGGTTGCTCCTCTTCCAGGCCAGCTCTCTGCTGTGGCCCAGAAGGGCAGTAGAGGATGGCCCAAGTGTTTGGGCTCCTGCACCCGCACAGGAGACCAGAAAGAAGCACCTGGCTCCTGGCTTTGGATGGGCGCTGCGCCAGCCGTAGCAGCCATTTGGGGGGTGAATCAAAGGAAGAAAGACCTTTTCTCTCTTTCTCTTCCTCTCACTGTTTGTAGTTCTACCTGTCAAATAAAAAAAAAATGTGTTATCACATCATGATAAAAGTTGTAGCTTTTTTTTTTTCATAGAAAATGCAGGGTCATTCATAATGACAGATGAATGCTTTTCAGTGGCATTTGGAAAGTCCTATATTAGGAGAAAGAGCAAACATAATCAAAGAATTGGGAGTCAGTGAGACTACCCAGGAAATTATTAATTAATTAATTGGAAAGAGGGAATGGCAGAGACATATATGTGTGCAGGGGGAGTGGGGCAGAGATGGAGATAGGGAGAAAGAGAGAGACAGTGGGAGAGAGAAAGAGAACTTCCTTCTACTCATTCACTTCCCAAATGCCCACAACAGCTGGAGGTGGGTTAGATGAAAGCCAGGAGCCAGGAACTCCATCCAGATCTACCATGTGGTTGACAGCAACTTAAGGATTTGAACCATCACCTTCTGTCTTTCAGGGTGCACAGTAGCAGGAATTGGAAGTGTTGGTAGAACTTGAACACAGGTTCTACAATATGGGACACTAGTCTTCCAACTATCTTAACCACTGAGCCAAGTATCCCCAAGGAAATTACTGAAAAATTTTCTCTGAAGTAACTACATCTAGAATTAAGATATTTTTCATTCTGGTCACAAAGAAATTGATGTGAACAATAAAAAGCCATCTGTTATGATTCATTGTTATTTCCTGAAGAACTGGAAAATATAGGTGAAGACATTTGGTTGTATTTTTGAGTTTTTCCATAGTGAATATTTAATAAGTTTCCTGATGAACTATGATCATCCTGATTAGCTGTGACTTGTGTTTTCAGTGTCTGTTTCTCCAGAGTCTTACCAAGAAGGTCATTCTGGGGGATCCACTTATACAGCCGAGTATTGGGTCCTAAAGTTTCTGGTTTCTTCCCATTAAATCTCCAAAGAACCTGTTAGGTAAAGAAAGCACATAATCCATAAATCAAATTTGATATTACAGCACGTTGGAATTCTAAAGAGATTGAGAGATCTCTCGCTAAGATCTTTGCCTTCCATAGAAAAGACAAAGAGAAGGGAGTTCAAATAATGACAACTAAAAGACCTTGTTAAATAGTTTAGTACAGGCCGGTGCCGCAGCTCAATAGGCTAATCCTCCGCCTTGCAGCGCTGGCACACCGGGTTCTAGTCCTGGTTGCCCCTCTTCCAGGCCAGCTCTCTGCTGTGGCCAGGGAGTGCAGTGGAGGATGGCCCAAGTGCTTGGACCCTGCACCCCATGGGAGACCAGGAGAAGCACCTGGCTCCTGCCTTGGGATAGGTGCGGTGCGCTGGCTGCAGCGGCCATTGGAGGGTGAACCAACAGCAAAGGAAGACCTTTCTCTCTGTCTCTCTCTCACTGTCCACTCTGCCTGTCAAAAAAAAAAAAAAAAGTTTAGTACGTGTCGCTCCCCCTCTTCACGGAGGAACGACACAGGAGCCTGCGCTGTTCTTTTGTCTGCTCGGCCCTCCCCGGGTTTGCTGCTGGTTCTTCCCGGGTTGGCTACCGTCCCTTCCACCTCCGTGGAAGGGCGGTTCCCCCTGCCACTTTCCCCACTTCCACGGGGGAGCGGCACACCGCCGGCCGGCTCTCTCGGGGGCTGCACAGGTGTTCCTTCAGATAGATGTTCCCGGTGTATGTTGTCTCTCTCCTCCTTTATAGTCCTCTTCCACCAATCCCAACTCGGCTACCCACACGCCGAGTACGCTGCTCTCCTCCAATCAGGAGCAGGTCCTACAGTTTATTGGTTGAACTGGAGGCAGCTGTGTAGAAGCTGTTTCCTCCTCTCCCAGCGCCATATTGTGGGAGAGCAGATGCATAGAATAAGTCTTAATTCCAGTAACTTAGTCTAGTCCGAGTTGCTCCCCACAGATCCCCCTTTCTTTTTATTTTTGGCGTTGATACGCGCCTGTCTTCGGTGCCCCGCGGCACACACTCTGCTCTGCTTGCTAGAGTTGCCCACAGGTGCTTACAAGCCCTACCAATCAGGCAAACCAAATCCGGGTCCTCTCTTCGCCATGTTGTGAGGAGGCTTTTAGACGCTGATGCGTGCCTGTGTTCGGTGCCCTGCAGCTCATGCTCTGCTCTGCTCTGCTAGAACTGCCTGCAGGTGCTTACAAGCCCTATCAGGCAAACCGAATCCAAGCCTTCTCATTGCCGTATTGTGGGGAGACTTATTGGTGTTGATAACGTGCCTGTCTTCGGTGACCTGCAGCGGGTAAGCTGCTAGCCACCAGCAGGTGCTTATCGTCTTACTAATCAGGCAGACTGAATCCAAGCTCTCTCATTGCCGTGTTGTGGGGAGGCCTTATTTTTCTCTATTTCTCTATCTCCTGGCATTCCTATCTCTCCTATTTTACTTCTATCTACCAGCATTCCTATTTCTCTCATTTTACTTCTAAACTTCTGTTTCTCTTATCCCCGTGGCTTCCCGGCGTCCGCCCCGAGGCTGCTTCTCGGCGCCTCACCCCGCGGCAGCTTCCCGGCTCTGAGCCGCTTCCCGGCGCCCACCCTGCGGTGGCTTCCTGGCTCTGCGCGGCTTACCGGCTTCGCGCGCACTCCGCGGTCTCTGCGCCCCTTCGCGCCCGCACCACGGCCTTCGCGCTAGCCCCGCGTTCCCTACCTACCTGCGCCCCGCGCGCTCTCTCTGCTCGCGGCGGCTTCCGCGAGTCACACAGCCTAGCTCACGTTTCCACCACCGGTATTCAGTCTAAGTTCCCCGGGCTAACCTGGCGAGTTCAACCTAGCTCACGTCTGCACCTTTCAGTTTGGCTTCCCGTCTTTTGCTCCCTGGGCTAATCTGACAGATTCCAACCTGGCTTACGTTTCCGCTTCTGGTTTTAACTTTTCGCCTTTTGCTCCCCGGGCTGACTTGAAGAATTCCAAGCTGGCTTACGTCTCCGCCTCAGCCTGCCCCCGCAGCTTCAATTTCCCTAACATTTTTCTCTACCCGGTATGTTTCCCTAAGTTTTCTTCCAACAATATTCCCCTCTCATTTCTCCTGGCTTCTCCCCACAGTCCGTATCCGAGTCTAAGTTTCTTCTAGGTTTCACTTTCACTTTCAACCTGCAGTCCATATCTGAGTCTAAGTTTCTTCTTGCTTTCACTTTAAATCCTAACTTCTTTCCCACAGTCTGTATCCGAGTCTATGCCTAGGCTTTCAATAGCTTGTTCCGGCACCTTTTCCATCCGGCTTTTCCCTAGGCTCTTTGCTAGTCTCTCTCTCCGGTATTTTCCCACTTCTTCCCATTTCTTCCCTCCTAGGTTTCCTATCCGAGTCACTGCACCATTATGTCGCTCTCCCTCTTCGTGGAGGAATGACACTAAACCCTGCCTAGGCTTCATATCCGAGTCACGGCACCATTATGTCGCTCCCCCTCTTCACGGAGGAACGACACAGGACCCTGCGCTGTTCTTTCGTCTGCTCGGCCCTTCCCGGGTTTGCTGCTGGTTCTTCCCGGGTTGGCTACCGTCCCTTCCACCTCCGTGGAAGGGCGGTTCCCCCTGCCACTTTCCCCACTTCCGCAGGGGAGCGGCACACCGCCAGCCGGCTCTCTCAGGGGCTGCACAGGTGTTCCTTCAGATAGATGTTCCCAGTGTATGTTGTCTCTCTCCTCCTTTATAGTCCTCTTCCACCAATCCCAACTCTGCTACCCACACGCCGAGTACGCTGCTCTCCTCCAATCAGGAGCAGGTCCTGCTGTTTATTGGTTGAACTGGAGGCAGCTGTGTAGAAGCTGTTTCCTCCTCTCCCAGCGCCATATTGTGGGAGAGCAGATGCATAGAATAAGTCTTAATTCGAGTAACAGTCTAATCCAAGTTGCTCCCCACAAGTACGAAGAGAAGTAACTCTTTTCCAATGATCTATACTTTTTAAATATATGTATATATAATTTTAGTCTTGACTTGCTAATTTAATATTAACATTTTCATCTTTTATAAAATAAAAATTGGAGTTTAACATATCCAGTGTTTCATGTCTTATTTCATTGGAATTGATATACTTTAATTTACTAAAAAAGCAAACCTACCTCTGCAATTGTCTATGTGTGAGAAATAAATTAATTTTGTTTAGCAACTATATGTAATTATATCTAACTTGTAGATTACACATTTTTAATCACTATTTCTAGGAAAAATTTCAAGGTGCATTTTTTAAATCAATCCATAGGTAGTATTCCTGTGACTAGGATTGGAAATTCTTTTTTTCTTAAGGATTTATTTATTTGAGAGATGGAGAGACTGGTTTATTTCCCAAATGGCTGAAATGACCAGAGCTGGGCCAATCTGAAGCCAGGAGCCAGGAGCTGCTTCCAGATTTTCCACTCAGGTGCAGGGGCACAAGCACTTGGGCCATCCTCTGCTGCTTTCCTAGGCACATTACCAGGGAATTGGATTGGAAGTGGAGTAACAGGTACTCGAAACAGCACCCATACGGGATGCCAGAACCATAGGCGGAGGCTTAACCTACTATGCCACAGGGCTGGCCCCGGGGAAATTCTTTAAATGTGGGAAAAAGTCCCGGTTCTTAAAATAACATAGTGAATGAAAAAAATCCATAATTGCTATGATGCTGAATTTTGTTCAATTTTCAACTCTTCTGTGATGCACTACAAAGCATTGACAGCCAACATTGCTCATTTCTGCTATATTCAGACCATTTCCATGTCCAGTACCAAAATAAGACTCTGATCGTACTATCCACAAAGTATCCACATAAACTGGAATATCATCTTAAAGTGTTGAATTTCTATTTGCTAATAAAAGTTAAAAATGGTTTTGGATTACCAGCAAAATATTAACAAGGTTATATCAGCTAGAAAACTAAAAACGTTGTTCGTAAATAAAAAGAGATCAACATTTAAGTCCTTTCTGGCAGCAGCTGCAAGAAAAACAAGCAAGTGACAGGACAGAATTTGGTGACTTGTGTTCCTGCCTGCAATATGATGATAATATCAAAGCTGCACAATGCACCTGTTAAATATATTTCTTATCATAATGTTAGTATCAAAATTAACAATTAAAACACTCTCTGTGCTACTTTTGCACCTGTCAAGTAGAGTTTCTTTCAAATTGATATCTTAGATAAATTAGAACTATTATATCAATTTACCTTTCACACAGGAAGATTCTGTAATAAGACCTTTTGTAGAGTTTAACAGACTCATTCAGTAGCCACCCACCATTAGGACACTTTTTCTAACCTTTTGTGGAAGCTGGGCAAAAGCAGTTGCAAACATATTCGCCCTTTCTTCTGTCATGTTACTGACCATAGACCCCAGGGAAAACACCACAATTCCCTCTTCTCCAGAGCTTTGCACAAAGTCTTCCATTTCCTGTGAAGAGAAAATTGTCTGTCACAAAGAAAGCAACATTGCAACAAACGATATTGAAAGGGTTGGTGGAAACAACAGAGGAAGGACTATTAAGGCATTAGAGTAGTGGCTGTGGTAAAATGTGTACCAGACAAAATTTTCCATCTGAGTCATTTCAAAGTGCACAGGTGGTAGTGTTAAGTAAGGTCACAATAGGCACACTATAGTACACATGTAAGAAATGATAAACTTATTTTTATAATCTTTCTTCATTCTACAGAAAAGAATGTGATTTAATTTATCTTTTTTGGTTCCTTTTTTTTAACTAAACTTCCTATTTTGGCTGATTTACTGTTAATATGGGTTCTTTGTTAAAATCATTATACTGTTTTGATTTACACATAAAGAAGTTTAATCATTCCTTAGTATTAGGTTTAAGCTACTTCCATTGGTTACCTTTATAAATAGCTTTTATGACTATTAATTTTGCATATCTTAATTACTTTTGTCTGCATAGTTTCATGTGAGTATCTTGTACAGCCAAAGAGTATAAATATTTAAAAAACTTGATGCAGTCTGTTATATTACTTCTGTTTTTTAAAAAAGAGATTATCTTATAATTTGATAATTAATGGAAAAGCAAATTATCTGGAGAGAGAGAGAGATTTCTAACACAGAACAAGAGGGCAAACTTTCCAGTCTTTGACTTGGATTCAAAGGTGTGCAACTGAGTAACAACAGGTTTAATCAGTAATTATCATTACATTACTATCCACCCATTGTCCTGCTTTTCCTTGTCCTCCTCTCCCTGCCCCAACACAGTCACTCTCACTTTAGACAAATCAAGAATTCATTAAACATAGAGAAATGCTGTACAGAACTTTTGATAATGTTATCTCAGTCTTAGGACCTGCAAAAGTTACTAAAGTTACCATATAAAGCTGAATCTATTTGCACTAAAAATTGATATTGGTTTTATATCAGTTTCATGTTGCTGTAATAAAATGGTAGTTAAGAAGCATCTCTTGAGAAATAATGTAATATAACATTAAAATTATCTACTTTTTTTTTGACAGGCAGAGTGTACAGTGAGAGAGAGAGAGAGACAGAGAGAAAGGTCTTCCTTTGCCGTTGGTTCACCCTCCAATGGCCACCGTGGCTGGCCGCTGCGGCTGGCACACCGTGCTGATCTGATGGCAGGAGCCAGGTACTTATCCTGGTCTCCCATGGGGTGCAGGGCCCAAGCACTTGGGCCATCCTCCACTGCACTCCCTGGCCACAGCAGAGAGCTGGCCTAGAAGAGGGGCAACCGGGACAGAATCCAGTGCCCCAACTGGGACTAGAACCCGGTGTGCCGGCACCGCAAGGCAGAGGATTAGCCTATTGAGCCGTGGCGCCGGCTAAAATTATCTACTTTCTACATATGTCCTTATGGTGTGATATGAATCTAAAATAGATTACCTTCTTGTGTTCCTTTATAAGGATCACCATCTGTTCACAAAATCCTATTTCAATTAAACTAAAGGCCCTTATCAGGTGCAGGTGATACAAATTCCTAGTTCTTCATTCCAAATGCAATGAGCATTTCCCCTGTTCCTACTCCATCAGGCAGTTGTGATGCTGAGGATCAAGTTCTCCAAGGAGTTTTACCAAGGGGTCCTATGGGGTTGAGCAAGTAAAACTGGATTTGGCTGCAGATATTTTAAGAACGAAACATTTACGTTGCTGAGGAATGGCTGAAGATCCTCAAGGCTTACAAAAAAACGTTAGCCTTCATCTGTTCATCTTATTGTCAAAACTTATACATTGGTTTTTTAAATGTATCTATAGAATTTTTGCCTCTCTCTGACTTCACTTGAGAATGTAATCTTAATCTGTTGGAAATCCACTTTCCATTGAATGGGTTTAAATCTAATACATTTGAAACACTTTAGGTAATTAAATGTTTAAGTAAAAACAGCAAAATGTAGCAATAATGTCAACAGTCCACATTAGTTCTAATTCACTAAGTGCCAATGACATTTTATTCTGTTACTTACTTTTATTTTTATGACACATACAAATTATACATATATACAGGTGTCATGTAATGTTATCAGACATACATATATTATATTATATTCAAATCAGTGTTTATGGTCAAAATGTTACAAATCATTTCCCTTAGCTTTTTTCCCCTAAGCTTTATTTATTTATTTTAAAGACGATTTACACACATAGAGAGAAACACAGAGAAAGCGGAAGATATCTTACAACCACTGATTCACTCCCCAGATGGCCTCAACAGCTTGGGACTGGGCCATGCTGAAGCCAAGGAGCCTGGAACCTTGCTTCCAGGTTTCTTATGTAGGTTTCAGGGGTACAAGTGTTTGGGACAACTTCCTCTACTTTCTCAGTTGCATTCACAAGGAGCTGGATCAGAAGTGAAGCAACCTGGGCTTGGACCAGTGCGCATATGGGATGCCATTGTCACATGCAGCAGCTTAACCTGCTGTGCCATAACACCAGGCCCTCTCCTAACTTTTAAAAAAGTGCTTATTTCAGTTCTTTCAGTTCTTTTCATCTACCTGAAAGGCAGAGTGACAGAGAAAGGGAGGGAGGGAGAGAGAGAGAGAGAGAAAGAGGCAGAGAGAGAGAGAGAGAGAGAGAGACAGATAAAGAGAGATTGTTGATATCTTGGTTCACTCCCACAAATGCCTACAACAACCAGGCCTGGGCCAAGGTGAAAACCAAGAGCACAGAACTCCATCTGAGTTCCCCACAGGTATGAAAGGGTCCACGTACTTGAGCCATCATCTGCTGCCTCACAGTATACATTAGCAAGAAGCTGGAACAGAAATGTGGCACCCAGGACTTGGACCTGCACTCCAATATGGGATGAAGTCATCCCATAAATGGCATCTTGACCTGCTGTCCCACGATGCCCATCCCCAGCATTTTTCTTTAGAAAAATATTTAGAAAAATGACAAGTGCATTATCATTTTATTTATTTTTTTAAAATTTATTTATTTATTTGAAAGGCAGAATTATGGATAGGCAGAGAGAGAGAGAGAGAGAGAGAGAGAGAGAGGTCTTCTATACCCGCAATGGCTAGAGCTGGGCTGATCTGAAGCCAGGAGCCAGGAGCTTCCTCTGGGTCTCCCTTGTGAGTGCAGGGGCCCAAGAATCTGGACCATCTTCTACTGATTTCCCAGGCCATAGCAGAGAGCCGGATCAGAAGTGGAGCAGCTGGGATGAGAACTGGGGCCCATGTGGGATGCCGGCACTGCATGCTATGACTATTGGAACATATTTCTCTGTTTTCTGTTGCCTGATTTCCTAAAACCATCTTATTCATCACTCCTCCAGAGCCATGCATCTCTCTGAAATCTAATCCAATAATTACATCTTCAAGCCTTTTTTCTTTTTAAAGAAAACCTGATCCTATCTTTCCCTAAGTCAACTCTTTTTTGTTGTCCTCTCCTCAACACACCTCACTGCATATTTTAAGCTAGTTCCTATTTTAGACACCAAATTACCTATCTACTGAAATCAGCCTCCTTACTCATCTTGCTCCTAAAGTAGTAGCTCTTGGGGCTGGCACTGTGGCTTAGTGTGCTAAGCTTCTGCCTGTGGCACTGGCATACCATAGGAGTGCTGGTTCATGTCCTGGCTGCTCCTCTTCTCATCCAGCTCTCTGCTGGTTGCCTGGGAAAGCAGTGGAAGGTGGCGCAGGTTCTTGGACCCCTGCGCCCCTGTAGGGGACCTGGAAGAAGCTCCTGGCTCCTGATAGTCAAGATGTTTTATCCAGTGTCCAATATTTCTTCCTGGGTCAAATTCTCTAAATGAAAAATATAGGGTCATTTCCACTGAAAATGGAAAGCAAACAAAACATGAGAACAGAAGGTATTTACCTTAGGAAGAGGTTTGGCAGGTTTGCAATGGAACCCTCCAACAAATTCAAAGTTTGGTAAGAGTGGGCGGGGAAACTCCAAATCCCAATAGCTTCGGATGAGCCACATATCAGCTTTCCCCATTAGCTCAGAGAATCTAGCAGGTCTTCCTGGACAGAGGATACAGAAGAAATTGGACAGTAATGGAACAGTGTTCATATGAAGTGCATGTGAAGAAAATGAGGGGATACTATGTAATGTTACCTCAGGATATTTACAATCATAAATAGTCATTAAAATAGGCCAATATAAAATTAAACATGCATTTGTTTTCCTTCTAAACTTGAAGTGGCAATGGCAGATATAAACATCGATTGTAATTACAGAATCAAATGATTCCTCCATGGTCCCAGCCAGAGTACTCAGTCCAGTTTCTACAATTTAGCAACTGGTCCCTGATCCCTAATTTTCTAGGTTCAATCAGAGGATTTTGAGTATGGCTAAAGCTTTGTACCTGTGACTGCTTTTGGTTCACATTAGGAGTGTAACACTTATCTACATAATATTTTCATGTAAATCTACATAATACCACAATGAAATTTTTAACTTATAAAAACAAAGAATTGAGTTCACTCCTATTTTGCTTCATTTTTCTAAAAAAAAATTAAAAAGTAGACTGATTACATATGCATTCACACATGTAAAAGCTCGTAAGTCCTATACAAATGATATTTAAGGACTTAATGAAGGAATGTGGCTTTTACTTTATAGGCAGCTGGAATAAAACTCTGTATGTGTAAACTTTTTGAAAATTATTTACATGTTAAGAAAATGTACTTCCAGAAAAGAAAGCGATTTCCTCAATTGTCACGTAAGTACTTGTACTAGAAGTATGTGCAACAATTCAATCTACTTGCCTCTATGCATTAACATAATAGGGTTTTGTACTAGCATAATGTGAAAATGTCTAGTAAAATGGACGTAGGTTTGCTGAGAGAAATCCTCAGTACTTCACCTGTTGCTGGAGGGTCATATCCTAGTGATGAGCTACTGACTTTTCTTATTTTTTTCTTTTTTTAAATTTTTATTTAATAAATATAAATTTCAAAAGTACAGCTTTTGGATTATAGCGGTTTTTCCTCCCATAACCACTCTCCCACCCGCAAACCATCCCATCTCCTACTCCCTCTCCCATCCCATTCTTCATTAAGATTCATTTTTAATTATCTTTATATACAGAAGATCAACTTAGTATCTACTAAGTTGCCACTGACTTATAACAGGTACTGTAATGTGACCCTTTCCATAATGTTTTTGAGACCAATAGCTCTTTTTATACTTTCATTTCATTATTTCACTTATAAAAGAAAATGCCTCTGATTTTATATTCGTACAAGTTTGCCTACAAAGTCACAGAAAGTTAAAGCTTCATAGTATCAATTAAAATCATGACTTACCTAGTACTTCACTGTAAAACTTATCCCATCTCCTCTCATTAAAAGTTTGGAACCAAAAGTCAAAATAAAGCAGGCATAGCATATTTTGAACTCTCTCCATAAATGTCATTTGACCAGTTAAACCTGACAGAATAATAGGTACGTAGGAAGGAGGCACGTGCAGCCCTCCGCTGTACTTTTCCATAGTGTAGCCTGGAAAGAAGCGGAGACTGTAGACGAAGGGCACTTTCAGCAGCTCAGCCAGCAGCTCAGCACCAGGAATGATGGCATCTGCAAGGACAACATCGAACTGCGATCCCTGCAGTTTCGTCATGAGTTTCTTGTTCAAAATTATGTCTCTGCAGATATTTTCATAGACATCAGAATATTTTGGAAAGAATTTGTTCAGTATGAAAAAATGATCCCAATATGAGTCTAGTGACATATTATATAGTGCATTATTGATCCAATAAATGAAAAAATCCTTCATTTCCTCTTTAGCAAAAGATGCAGGAAAAGTTTCAAATTTAATTCCAGATGCTTTGTTGGGATCAATTAAAATAGAAGCTGAAGATCTCAGAACAGTTACCTCATGACCTCGCTGGACAAGTGTGTCCAGGATTGTCTTTATATTGAGCCAATGACTGTACTCCACATGCCACACTAGCACCTTCCCACAACTCCCAGAGCTGAAGAAGTAACTCAGCTGTAGCAGCAGCAACAGAGCCGAGATGTGTTTTACAGACATCCCGGTGAAATGAAACGCTTCCTCTCCAATCGTTATTCCTTTCTGTCACTTTCCTTGCTTATATCCAAGAAGCAATTTATCAAGTAGTTAAAATATAACTTGCATTGGTCAAAGTAAATACATCATATGAACAATTAGAGCTTGTCAACCTGGATGGCAGGTGGAAATGCCAAGTTAAATGATGTGTTTATGTGACTGTTTTTAGTGTTTCTATTTTGATTAAGTGCTTTGACCTATTTCTAAGGTGATAACCTACATGTGTAAGGCACCTGTGTTATGCAAGAGATTTTAGAGCTATGCCAAGAGCAGTGGCAAGTGAAGGGTGACGTGCGTCTGCTGTCTCCCTGACACAGAACTACAGACAAAGTAATTATGCACTGATCCACTTGGGTAGCATGGGTCAAGGGATTTATTTTCCATATAAACTTTGATAAAATACAATTCACTCACATACACATCAATTCAGTGTATAATTCAAGATTTTTCTGTATTTTTCATGAATTTATAGCTACCATCACTATCAATTTTTGAGCATTTCATCACCCCCCAAATAAGCCCTGACCACTTTATCCTGTGTGCCCTTCCCCCACACTCCAGTTTCTGGTTCCTTCAGCCCTAGGAAACCACTAATTTACTTGATGACTCTACAGCTTTGTCTACTGTGGGCATTTCATGTAAATCGATTGATACAGCACGGGGAAGCAGCACTGGCACACGTCTCTGTGTCTACTTGAGGAGTAAATTTTTAACTTGTGGTCTTAGTTTGCTTTTCTCAGCATGAAATGCCCAGTTTTTGAGTAAGCTGGACAATTACTTTTATTTTATTTTATTTATTTCACAGATAGAGTTACAGAGAGAAAGAGAGATAGACAGAGAGAGATACAGAGAGAAAGGTCTTCCTTCCGTTGGTTTACTCTCCAAATGGTGGCAACCGCTGGCGCGTTGCACCGATCTGAAGCCAGGAGCCAGGTGCTTCCTCCTGGTCTCCCATGCTCAAGCACTTGGGCCATCTTCCCCTGCCCTCCCAGGCCACAGCAGAGAGCTGGACTGGAAGAGGAGCAACCTGGTTCTAATCCCGGCTGCTCCTCTTCAGATCCAGCTCACGGCTATGGCCTGGGAAAGCAGTAGAAGATGGCCCAAGTCCTTGGGACCCTGCACCCACGTGGGAGACCTGGAGGAAGCTCCTGGCTCCTGCTTTGGATTGGTACAGCTCCAGCTGTTGCGGCCATCTGGGGAGTGAGCCAGTGGATGGAAGACCTCTCTCTTTGTCTCTACCTCTCTTTGTAACTCTATCTTTCAAATAAATAAAATAAATCTTAAAAAAAAAAAGTTAGTGGTGAAGGTGGATTTTTCTTTGTGGTAAAACCCCTGGATCACATGTACGCACAATACTCATCGAGAGCCCTACATGCTTCACAGTTGTGCTGGGCATGTACAAGAGTCTGAACAGCTGGTACTAATGTCAGAAAGACTCCTCCATGCCCACTGTTGGGTGTATGCACCAGAGCTGCTGTGGTTTCTCCTACTAACAAGATGGCGACTGCCCCGCCAGTTACTGCGTGCACACACTAGAGCTACCGCAGCTGCTACCTACTTATGTCCAAAATGGCACCTGAGATCTCTCAGCTGATTCTCTGGTGCCATTCTGGAGGGGATGGATTGAGAAAGACACGCCCCTGTTGTTTTTCTTTGGGTGGGCAGTCACCCTGTTCTCTCAGGGCTCTGGGCTGGACTCAAAGACAATGTAGTCTTCTAGGTTTTCCCTCTGGCTGTATCATCAGTGGCACAGTTGCTGATCTCACCTTGGTCTCCAAGGCTGACACTTTCTCTGGCTAGGACTGCTGGGGTTGTTTGTTGTGTCCATGCTTGTTGCTGTGTGTACGCACCTTCCACACAGATCCATGGTGTCTCTCCTTGTTCTGCAGAATTTGTAGTTTTCCCTCCCCTGAAAATGTACTTTCTCCGCTGTTTGTATTTATTTATTTGACAGATAGAGTTAGACAGTAAGAGAGAGAGAGAGACAGAGAGAAAAGTCTTCCTTCCATTGGTTCACCCCCCCAAATGGCCGCTACAGCTGGAGCTACACTGATCCGAAGCCAGGAGCCAGGTGCTTCCTCCTGGTCTCCCACGCGGGTGCAGGGACCTAAGCACTTGGGCCATCCTCCACTGCCCTCCCGGGCCACAGCAGAGAGCTGGACTGGAAGAGGAGCAACTGGGACTAGCACCCAGTGCCCATATGGGATGCTGGCGCCGCAGACAGGATTAACCAAGTGAGCCATGGCGCTGGCCCCTCTCCACTGTGTTTTCACTGATTTCGCCTAGTCTAGCCTACAGGAAACTGCCCTTTCCCTATTCCACCAACTTGGAATATCCCTCTATGATTACTTTTAAGTTTATTGTATATGGTTGAATTTTTGCTCCATTAGATTATTGTTTATAGTCCTTGCCTATATTTTCACTAAACTACGGTCTGTTTACTTTCTTTCTTGTTGAACTCTGTATTTACTGGAGATTAAAGTCCTTGACTGAAAAGTAAGTAAAGGTATGTCATCTCAAAAGTGAAGGAGAGAATAGGGAAAAGGAGAAAGAAGGAGGGTGGGAAGGATAAAAGGGCTGAAAGGGAGGAAGAAAGGGAATAGTATTATTTTCTCAGAACTATCTATGGGGGCTGGTGCTGTGGTGTAGCAGGTAAAGCCCCCACCCGCAGTGCTGGTATCCCATATGGGCACTGGTTCGAGTCCCAACTGCTCCACTTCCAATCCAGCTCTCTGCTATGGCTTGGGAAAGCAGTAGAAGATGACCCAAGTCCTTGGGCTCCTGCACTCGTGTGGGAGACCTGGAGGAAACTCCTGGCTCCTGGATTCGGATCAGTGCAGCTCCAGCCATTGCAGCCAATTGGGGAATGAACCAGCGATGGAAGACCCCTCTCTCTCTCTCTCTCTCTCTTTCTCTCTCTCTCTCTCTCTCTCTGCCTTTCCTTCTCTTGTTGTGTAACTCTGACCTTCAAACAAATAAATAAATCTTTTAAAAAAAGAAAAAAAGAACTGTATCTATGAACTATGTTGAACCTGTTAAAAACTAAAAAAAATTTAAAAAGTCATAGTTACTTATTAGACACCTAGATCATTTTTACACAGGATAAACTGCTGAACACAAACTATTGGACCTAAGTTAATGTTTATATACTTTGGCATCTGACTTTTAAACTCAATATATTTTAATAAACTTAAGAAATTGTAGCTGGAGGAAATAGCAATAGGACAATGTGTTTTACAGAAGTAACAAAAACTTTCTTGTCAAATGAACTGTTGATTTTTATATCTTTGGAAGCTATTGGCTTTATGGACAAAATGAAGCAGACAATAACATTACTTTAGAATCAGTGAACTGAGGATGGGATTGTGACTTTTGAAACTGTGCACATTTATTGTTTTATTTTTAATATTTAAGGAAGTTCTTTTCTTTGGTCTAAAGTTATCTTAATGATTAACACTTTATTAGATTATGCTCTAGTAATCAGATACTTTACTAATCAGCAATCTTTACTGTTTCTTTCTCCTAATTGTTTCAGAATTCAGAAACACATTGAGTATCCTTATTTGTTGCAATACACTTCAACAATTAGAAGCCATTGTAAGATTATTAAGCAACCTAATTTTATTATTGTTCTGTCTGAATGGAGAGTCCAAGGAGAAGGAGATAGAGGAGGACAGGGTCCTTTTTGCAAACAGGCAGAACTCATACTCTTATCTGTTATATATGCCAGCTTTTATAGGTGACATTAATGATGCCTACCCCCTCCAACAATTACAAAACAACATTAAAGAAAACTTAAATAAGATCACTGTGATGCATATAGTAATAATTAAAAAGCTTGAAATATTGTGAGAATCACAAAAATGTGGCACGGGGACATGAAGTGAGTACAGTTGTAAAAATGGTTCCAATAGATTTGCCCAAACCAGGCTGTTACAAACATTCATTTTGAAATAAAAAAAGCCATCTCTTCAAAGTACAAGAAGAGGAACTGCAATAAAATGAGGCATACCTATATACTTTTCCATAATATAGGAAAACAGTCATTTTGTATCTATCATTTCGCCTCTCAGTTTCCAAATAAGCTTGTATTCTGGCTGACTGTGTAAGTACTCTTTGATAAAATGACTGTAATAATGTTATATTTAAGTGACATGGAATACATGATATTTCTAGAAAAATCATAAGAGAAACCCTTCAAGACATTGGTGTTGGTAATGATTTCCTGGGTAAGGCCCCAAAAATAGAAGAAGAAAAAAAAACTGTGAAGTGGGATTATACCAAACTCAGAAGTTTCTGTGCTGCAAGGAAAGCAATCAGTAGAGTGGAGGGAAATCTGACAGAATGGGAGACAATATTTGCCACTACCTATCTGACAAAGACTATCCAGAATATACAAGCAAATCAAACAGCTCAACAGCAACAACTAAATACAGTCAAGAAATGGTCAAAGATCTTGAATCTCAAAAGAAGAAATACAAATGGCCAAAAAATATATGAAAAACCATTCAATATCATGGCCTAAGCCACCACTTATGATGCCAGTATACCAAGTCAAAGTGCTGTTTGGAGTCTCAGCTACTCTGCTTCTGACACAATTTCTTGCTAATTAACCTGGGAAGACAGTAAAAGATGGACTAAGTCATTATGCCCCAGCCACCCCCGTGTGAGACCCAGTTGGAGTTTCTGGCTTCTGACTTTGACATGTCCCCACTTGGTTGTTGCAGCTATCTGGGGGAGTGAAGAAGTACTCTTTCTCTCTCTCACACCGTGTGTGTGTGTGTGTGTGTGTGTATCTTTGTGTATCTCCCACTCTCTCTGTTACTTTGCCTTTTAAATGACTCATATCTGTATAAAATTATGCAGTAATATTCTGCATTCCCACATTTTTGAGATTATAGATTTTTAAAGCTAATGAACTAAAAAATCTGATTGAAGGAATATAAAATTATTAGAGTATTCAAATTATAGTTTTCCTGTGTCTTGGATAGAGACACTATGTTTT